TCTTGGCCAGTGCCTTGCTTAACTTGAATTGTCGCATGCAGTTTGGACACCAAGTGAAGCATTTGCCATTTTTTCCTATTTCATTTTCCAAGGGCTCCGCACCTTCAATTTCGTTTTTTGCATCTCCCAGCCACTTTTTCACATCTTCGTAAATTTCTTCAGCATTCCTTTCAGCAGCTTCGACATCGTCTTGCAGACGTTCTTTTGCCGAAATCAGGTTCTCCTTTTGTTGTTTGAATTCTTTAACAAAATGGTTGAAACAGAACATGTAACGGAACTGCCTTCCTACTGGTTCCACCATGAATTCTGCTATCTTAGATATAATGGATCCAACCACACTTTCGATAGCCATTTTCCACCTGAAAATCAGAGAAAAAAGGATACAAGAACGTGAGAGTGAGTCACTACAAGTAAAACAGGCGCAGAGAGAATGGGAATAGGAGTTTCATTACCTTAATTTGGGAAAATATGTGTGGAAAGCACTGCTACTGATTGCTCAATGAAATAGCGGGAGGAAGAAAAGGAGAAGGCCTTTAGCTCTGTACGGAATCCAGCTTCAAAAGCCACAAGGCAAGGTATAAGGATTCTAACTGACACTTGTGAGTTAAAGCAGTAATTCCCATTAAAAATGCATTTTGATGATATAATTAAGATCATATAGAGACAGGGACAATTATAATAATTAAAATAATGAATAAAAGTACTCACCTAGCAAAGAAAGAAACGAATGAAAGGTTCAGGATAATTAATCACTTAGCTCGCTTCCAACAACAAATATAATTAATTAATCTAAGCTATGATCGGTCAAAGTCTTTTTTAGTTTTATTGTTGTTTTTTTATAAAAAAAAAACAGATCAATAAATGAAAAGACTTGCAAAGAAATAAAATTACTGGAATGAACACAATAAAGGATGAAAGTCAAGCAATTAAAAATAAATTATCTATGATGTTCATTTATGTGTCACATAATCTATGATGTTCGTCTCTGTGTCACGCTCAATGATGTATTATGATTGACCTTTTACAATATTAAATAAATAAATAAAAGCTAAAAAAAGGCATCCAGAGTGCGGTTACTTTCTTCATCCTTCTTTTGTGGTTTTATTTTATTTCAGTCCTTCAAATCTTTTTCTTTTGCTATTTCATCGAGTTGCTTTGCTCTTGAGTTGATATGCTTGCCCTACAATATGCATCATGCTAGGGATTACAATTACATTACATAAGAAATTATACTTACAGATTATAATTAAAAATTTCAGTTTTTTTATTAAAAAACAAATTTAGGAGAAAGTACCGATATTACAACGTGAGTAAATGAAGGGAGAATTTTAAATCTTTTTGTGACATGGTGACCAGCTGATCCAAGTAACCAATGGATTATCGGCCACTTGTTCGACCAGATCTGCACATTAAAATAGTAGTCATAACTATGACTTGTTTATTCGACGAAAAATAATTTTTTAAAAAATAAATTTTATATTTTTTTATATTTATTTTTTATTAATAAAATTAGTCAATAAAATATATTTTTTAGTAAAAAGTATTAGTTTCATTTTCAAAAAGGTATTTTTTTTTATTTTAAGCGGAAATATTTTCTAAAAATTATAAAAATTTTAAAAATATCATATTATTTGTTAATTATAAAAAATTTGATCTTCAATTTTTTAGTAATATTTTCTTTGATGTATCAAGATTTCTAACTCAAATTTATCATTTAAATAAACCATAACTCAAAATCATTATTTTTACTTAAAATCTTTCAAAATCAACTAAATAACTCATTATCCATAACAATCAACACATAATATTTAAATCAATTCATCAATCAAACCCAAAGCATAATCTTCAAAACTCTAATATTCAACAAAACAGAAAATTAAAGCTAAGAAAAACACATTTATACACTTCAAAGTGTAAATCTTACATTTTAACTTATTTTCTCCCTTCTCCTTTCTTTATCTTTTCTTTATCTTTTTTTTTTCACTCTGACGGTTTTCTCTCTAAGAATTTAGAATTTTTTTATTTTTTTCTATTTATATTTATCAACTCTTTATTTAATTACTATAATACCATTCATTAATATATACCTACTTCATTCATATATACCTACCTCCAAGAATTTTGTTGCCTTTTTCTATTCTTTTTTATTTGCAAAAGATCACAATAAAACTGTATTCTTTTTATTAAGCTGTTAATTCATGCAGCTTTAGCTCTTGTTCTCTTTTCATGTTTAGCAACTCTGATCTGATCCATTTCTTTGCATGATATATAAGAGTTGCATGATATATAAGAGCAGGTTCTTACCTCTTGAAGTCTGCTGGATAAACCTATCAGCAGAAGATCCTGAAGCGATCCCAAATCACAGCTTCAATCCCCACCACAACCAATCTCCTCTTTCCCGTAGTCTGTCGTCCTCAATTGGGAAATGATCTCAAAAAATCACTTGATGCAACAAGTAGAGTAGAGAAATATAAGACTTCAACAAAGAATCAAACTCAAAAAAATAAAAGTAATATGATTGACCTATTACATTATACAAATTAATAATAATAAAAGAACTAGGTTTTTCTTTTCTTTCTTTTTAAAATCTTATGCTTTGTGTGAGGAAATTAGTGGAGCATAAGACTTTTTATGGTGGGATGGTGGTCTTGCAAGAAATGTCTTAGCTTTTGATATGGTGGTCTTCCATGATCAGTTTTCGAAAGTTAACAATAGTACTGTTAAAAGTAATATGAGTATTGCAAGGATGGACTCGAAGGGTTAGCTAATCCGCATAATTACATAGTACTGTTACTGTAAACTACTAGGAAATTCAAGGAAAGTTAACAATAGCATTGATTCGATCAAGTAAGGGGCTCCGGTGCCCAGAGAGGACCTTGCCGTTAAGGAAATAACCATAGAAACTATGGAGCCCACTATTTATTAATCCATTTCTATTTACTACTATTTACTATTTATTTTTATTTATTATATTTCCAATTAAATTTCATCAAATCAATAATATATTAAAAATTCAATTCAATTCTAGCTTTGAACCCTGAGTTTTGTTTGTTCCATCTAGCATACAGGTTTAACAAATATGCTTCGCACTTGCAGCTGTGGTTTGCTGCGGGCATTTGGTAATTGGGAGAGGCTTTAGTTTCGTACCTGTTGATCTGCTTCGTATACACTTGGACCTCTTATTTTATTTTATATCGGTTGGATCCAAACTTAATCCAATACAAAATTAACATATTTATTATTTATTTAAGATAAATGATATAGCCTTAACATATTGGCGTACACTTAATATCATTAAATTTAATTTTAATTGATTAACATCTCACCGCAATAAATTTTACCATTTGCAACCAAAAAA